GCATAGGGCCGCCTTGTCGTCTATCCCAAGTTCCGTATTCATTTGGATTACGATTGCCGCCAAAACCATTACCTCTCGGGCCGCTGCCTCTGCCTCCCATATTATTTCTACCATCATCTCTCCTCTGAAAATAAAGAATAACATATTCTATACTTAAAAATTGAATGAGGAGAATTGGTTATAATGTTATGCTATTAGCTTGTATATAGACGTATGCATTCTAACAAATTCATAAATATATAAAATTTATTTACCATGACACTATCAATCAATTCCTGAATTCGTTGACGAGCCTGTTCAACGGCTTGATGCTTCCCTGACAATAAACATTTTCTATCGCCAGGGCCCTCTTCTCTTCCTTGTTGGAACTGAACTTTAGCTCCGCTTTCCGCTTGTATCTTTTTTATCATATCTCCGCCTTTACCAATAACGACACCAACTGCGGCTCTTGGAACGAGTACCTATATTATATGATAATTTTATAAATTTTAAGAATAAAAAGATGCATCACTCAATTTCTTTTTCTCTCTACGGTTAAATTCTCAGCCAATAAACATTTTTAATTACATTCACTTGTAACATAATAAAAATCATTATTAACCTCTACTCCATCACTATTTGCAGGACCGTGATTAAAACCACTATCATTAGAATAATTTCCCGTTCTATCAGTAGCACCTCTTCCTCCTCTATGAAACATTTGTATTTCTTTTTCAGCTATTAATTCATAGACTAATTGCTTTGCATATTCAACTTTTTGAGGATCTCCTGTTATTCTACAAAAAGATATCAGCTTTAAATAATTATGCCATATTGTCCTCATAGATCAAGTTAAAAGAGATAATTATTTGTATATGCAAAAAAAATATTTGTGTATTTTACCTTAAAGGTTTTTCTTGTTCTTGAGATGGCCCTTCCTGAATAACAACCATTTTAGCTCCAGATTTTTCTTGAAGTTGTTTTATGGTTTCTCCTCCTTTGCCGATTATCAAACCGACTTTAGGACCTGGAATCATTATCTCAACAAATCCTGGATGTCCCATCATTCCGCTACCGCTACCACTCATATTCATATCACCGATTCCCTCACTTCTACTTCTTTGATTTACTATTGATAACACAAGTTCCTTTGCTCGACTGAAACACATAAAATACCAAAGTACAATATTTTTTCAACTAAACTGTTTTACATGTGTCAAAAGATTTAATCAACAACAATAAAATTTGTTTGCAACACATAAATATGCACTAATATCTATTACGGATCAAAATTATATATCACATTTGTAATATATAGTTCTCTTTTCTAATGACCAATATCTTCAAAAGGTATAATAAAAGGTTTCAAAAATTTTATATCAAAATGCCATATATAGGTATTAAAATGCCATATATAAATTTAAACAGTTTCAAATAAATAAATAAAATTTTCTTCATGTTGTGATTAACACGTCCCCATGCATATCCTATCCTCCTTCCTTCCTTTTTCTCTCTCCATATCCTATTAAAAGCAAAAAACTATTAGTAAATACAAAATTATTAAATTAAAAGATCAACTCATTAATCAATTTTCAATGGTCAGAAATTCTGAAGCTTATAGAAAGTCAAGTATTGAACCCGCTATTGGCATCCAGGAGCTAAATAAATTCTGTAAAACATTTCATAATTTCAATATGCGAAAGCATATGTCTTATATTTGTAAAATGCATGTTAGGATGAAATTGTAGCGTATAAAATATACTGACATACACAAGCTGTTATTAAAATTGTATCTCAATTACACTAATAATAGGATCATAAAGCATTGTGCAATATTTATACATTGTCATAACATCGCAGTTTGATATAAAACAATTTTTCAGTCATTTTGGGGGAGTGACAAGATGGGAGTGTGGTGAAAACATTTACACTTAAATAAATTAGAATGTAAAATGTCCCTATATAAATTTAAGGAGGATAGCAGATTTGCTTGGCTGATTTACAATTAATTTTGGAAAGTATTTTTCACCCAGAATCTATAAACATAGAACTTGAACTGACAATCATATCCCATTTCAATAAAATATAAAATAATTGCATTCAAAGTCAACAGACAAAAGTAAATTCATTATCATTCATTGTGTGGTAAATTCTTATCATTCATCGTGATATAAAGTTATGGTATTGCATTGCATACAAAATAGTTATAAAATTAACGAAATAAGAAGGGAAAACAAGTTACTTGACAGCTTCTCGTGAACCAGTTAGCGTGCAAACACGCTCAGGTAGCCCACCGCTTTCTGGTGCCATTTGAATCTTACATCCTGTTTCAGTTTGCAATCTTGTTATCTGTTCTCCACCTCTGCCAATTACTGTAAATATATTATTATTACTTAAACGTAATTACATATCTAATGCTCCTATTATTACATTTCAATTACTAATCGATACAACAAAAACAATACACATAACTATTCTAAAACGCAACAAGTATTTTCTAGATTAATGTTAAGACAATAATAATACTTAAGCTATTAAATTTATATGGTAATATTATCATATAATGTCATATAAATAATAAACTGAAGATATCATAACATAGTATGCTCTTAAATAAGATATCATAACATAGTTATGCTCTTAAATAAGAACAGATTTAATGTAACATATTATAGAATATTCATACATAGAATACCAGTAATCTCTTCCATAATTTTACTTACTTAAACCAACCATTTTGTCTGGAACTCTGATATCTTCATTACACATACTACATAATGGATTGGAAGAAGGCGGTCTGGCTCCTTGACCACTTGAATCTCCAATGGAATTACCTGCAGGTCCTCCACGAATACCTATTAAAGGATCTGCTACTAACGATGCCATTTTCTTTGCTTCTGGCTCTAAAAATACAAAACATAATGCAATGTTAATACAGAATATAAACGAATCTGAAAAATTTGTTAACCTTCACTAATAAAGATCTATAGAAGAGATCAATATATTTTTAAATACAATGTATTACCTGAACTATCTTCAAGAGGACGTTTTAACTTGGAATCCTGATTATTTTGCGCACCACCAGGATTTATCTTCGCAGCAATCTGGAAAGATTAATCAAAGGTATAAATTTAGAATAGAATGCTTTACTTTCTAAACTGAATTATTATATACTTCTGTATAAATATTTCAGTTAAATGAAATATTTACAAATATTATATTATACAAACATTATAATATCCTCAGACGAGCCAAATTGGTTATCACTACAAAAAAAAAAAGAAAACTGAACGAAATATTATAAACGAATCCTATTCTGATATTAAGAGATTTATAAATATGGGTTCAATCTAGCCAGACTTGTATATCGCAGAAATTTTCCCAAAATCGGTTCACTGTGTATAAAATAAAGTAATTCGAGAAATAACTGTCGCGTCGGAACGGCCGCGAATTGCCGCGAGGATTCGAGGAAGTGACGCTCAACTCGCGTGTAGACGCACACGACTGATACGATGCCGTCCGCCGTCGTCGACGTGTCCATCGCAGAATCGTAATTACCTGCTTGGCGCGTTGGAGTGCCGCTGCGAACGCGGTGCTTTGACTGAAGTTCTGAGGCGGAGCGACCGCTGAGTAGTCACTCATGTTGGTGCATGAAGTTATTGGGACGGGTTGAGGAATCTAGTTAACGTTGTTGGTGCTGGTTCAATCACCGGCTGTCCCAACGATCCGTCTCACTGTTGCGAACGGTAACGCGATGGAACAAAAACGGTCTGCAGACGCAAGAAATACCACTTTTATGGAACGTACGACGCCGTACGCGAAGAAAAGACAAGTTTGTTCACTTTACGACAGTCGCGAGTGAAAGAACCGTACTTTCACGGGGGAACACAGGGGAACGACACAGCGCAAGCGTCCGCCGTTGGGTGCGCGGTCTTTTTAGTATGGAAACTTGCGAAAACCTGCGCCCTCATCACGATTCGTCGATAATTAGAGACGCGAGATCACGTGGTGCAATGCTACCGAGAATGGTCAAGATTGGCTGCGTTCAGAAATATCACTTTAGTCCTCCTCGCACATCATTTTATTCTTGTTATTTATCCAATTTTAAACAAGGATAAGATGATGCACAGAGATACCCAAGTGATATTTCCGAACGCAGCCCAATTGTTGTAAAATTCTTTAATATGATTTGTCTTGCTCTTAATTCCTCACTGGATCTAAATGCATAAATTAATCATATTCAAGAATTTTACAACAGTTATTATTATATTATGATCATTTCTTGTAAAAACTTTTTGTAATCCGATTTCACTTACACGTTCTGTTTGCATGAACATTATTCTTAACGAATAAAATTACACAATTAAGTCATGCTCGATCGTTTCTTATAATTTGCATAAACGGTTTGCACAAGTATTATCCTTAATGAATAAAGTTACACGGAGTTACACTTATAGTTATAATCATTTTTACCTCTTTATACGTTTGCTGAATAGTTAGAAATATTCCTCATATAGCTGCTCATAATATGAAACACTATAATATATAACAAAAGAAAAGGGTTAACAATAAGCAATTTATATATACTATATATTTCTTTTAATAAGAATAAATTCATCATTTATCGCAATTCTTTTCTGTATATCTGTATATCTTTTTTCTTACAAAATTAATATACAATATATACAATTTTAATAAACTAAAAAACGTAAGAAATAACACAAAAAAAGACATAATCATTAAATACACATTTACGTTTTCATATTCAACATACTAATAATAATAATATAATTATTTTTTTCTATATTACATGGCATTTGCTTATGTATTAAATTGTGTACATTTTTGTAAAGAATTTTTAAATATTTTGAAATTATTTATAAATTACATTTTTCATAAAAATCAAATATATTTAAGTACAAATATGTAAAATATGTAAAAATAAATATTATATATATTGTATGCATAATAAAAACGTTTACCGATAATGAAACATTTTTATTACATACTTTTTTTTATGCTTCCATCTAAAAAGTCTAATCAAATTAAAATAAGTTCTAAAAGTATTATTTTCTGAATATTAAGTACAGCAAAACGATTGTTAATTAATCCTTATTTTCTGTATTACGTATTCTTTCCATTAAAGCCCGTGTAATGTTACCAGGTACTTTCTGATGTTTTCTTATTAAATCTCTAAGACTATCAGCAACCTGAAAGTATGTTGTAAAATATTTTTGAATGATGTTACCTAGAATGTATACTTGTTTTACGCTTCTTCGTGATTTTATTTACCTTTATCTGTAATTCTTCGGGTGTAAGATTCCCATCATATGGAATAGGTTTGCCTATATATGTTACTAATTTTACTGGAAAGCCACCATAGATCGGTACAAGAGGAAGCTTTGTCTTGGCATATATCTTCAGCCATATTCTTCTTCCCCAACTTACTGCTCTAAATGATTCTCTGAGATTTTTTGTAAAGAGTGGGACTATACACTAATGAGAAGAGAGCAACTGTTATAATAGAAATCACAAATAAAACAGTACAAAATTTTTGAAGAAAACGTACCACTTTTGCATCCAAAGCAACTTTTGCAAAGCCCATTCTTTTCTGCCACATAAGTTCATAACAGGAATCTCCAAATAGAGCTTCATACACTCCACCTGGAGCAATAGCAAGCATATTCCCTTCTTTTAAAATAGCAGAACACGACTGACGTGTACCAGGTATAATTTTCAAAATGTCAGCAAATATGGACCATCCAGGGATCTTGAAGAAAAATCGGTCTACTACTAGACGGATTAGCTTCGAATTATATAGAAATACTTTCGACGTGAAATAATACATATCAATTGGGAGAGCTCCATGATAATATATAAATAATACTGGTTTATCTTGAGGAATATTCTCTAAGCCCACAATTTCATATCCTGTTAAACATATATATGTTATTTATATTAATAAATAAAGGTACTAAAAACTTATATAGCTTAATTTAAAGGCATTCTAATGCCTAGTCTTATAAACAGATTATTAAACTAGAACCTACCATGCCAAATCCAACCATGTGCATCCCAGACAGCTGCAACCATATGAACAGCTGTTTCTCGCCATGCAGTACCATAAGCATTTCTCAATCTAATCCTAAAACAAAATATTTCTTTTATGTATATATATATATATATATATATATACAAACAAGTGAATTGTTATGAACACAAACGATTTTGTCAAAAGAGAATACATTAAAGAGATATATATTAAAAACTATTACATTTCACACGTCGCTTCTAAAAATGATTATTTCATTCTAATAATTGACTTTATACAAATATGATATTTGTTATAGTTAATATTAATAAATTATATTGTGTCAATATGTATGTTTGTTTATGATATAGATACGTTATACTTTCAAACCTGTGTAACTTATAGATGTACAACATTAAGGCAGTTAAGTACAATAGCAGCGCAATTACAAGCGGGAGTAGAAATGTTATGAGTAGTGGCATTAAGAGCCATGTCAGCCATAATGTAAAGTCCAAGTCAATGTACTGAACTGAAAATAATATGAAGTACATTTTTTAACACCATTAAACTGCATCCTTCAATCATAATACATTCTTTCTTTAATATAGAAATTACAAAAAAAATCTCTATCTATGCAAACAAGAAGCATCTAAACATGCAATCTTATTAAATTTTTTTTTGTTTTTAGTATATATATTATGTAATACATAACGAAATTGTTAAGAAAGCAATTTATTTAAGTTATCATAATAGGTATAACAATAGGTAATTGTTAGAATAGCACTATGTAATTTTAATAGCAATATATATCAAGGCTAATTTTAATACAAAATGATACCTATAACATCTTCCATCATCGACCACAAATTGTACACAATTAAAAACATGTTTAGACCAATATAAAAAGAAGACGCAAGACACAAAGGTAATTTGTAGAACAATTGAGATGTTTATATCTTTGCAGGAAGCGCTCGTATACTCATTACAATACGAAGGATCTTTTCGCATTTATCTATGTCATTCTATGTATATATAAACATACGTCCGACACAATTAGCATTCATTTAAATTCCAAAATTATTTTCATCAAGATTGATTACTGCTTTCATTAAACGTTTTCTATGGTTGCACAGGCAATCAATCAGTGTAAATCCGAATCGTCTAAAGTCGTTCCACAAAGTAACACGCCAACTTCATCTTCGTAATGCATTGTAATATCATTATTTTAAATTAAAATCATTAGAATCGCGATCATTATATTGAAAACTCAATTTCATGATTCATCGCACTGACAAAGCTAAAATCTACGATAGCAAAAATATCAAACTGATTTTGAGCTAAAACAGTTATATATATATATATATATATATATTCTCAAAATTGAGTTTCGGAACACACAATGTCGCGGGAAACTTTTTTTTTTTTTATTATGTCAGGGAATTGATTCGGCCTTACATAACAAAATTATTGTTTTTATGTCATTCTTAATTTATAATAATCTTTCTTCTGACACGTCACATAAAAGGAACAGGGAACAGAGAACAGAGAATAAGGGGCTCCGCACAATAAAAGGAATAGGGAATAGAAAACAGAGAATAAGAATTTCAACCTATCAGAAACTGTGTATTTCACAATACATGATAGGTTGAAATTCTTATTCTGTTTTCTGTTCCTTGTTCCTTTTATTGTGCGGAGCCCTTTATTCTTTGTTCTCTGTTCTTTGTTCCTTTTATTGTGCGGAGCTCTTTACTCAACCCACCTCGGAAGCAGGGTTCATAGAGTTGACTCCGAGGTAGGTTTACTTACTTTTGGAACGAATAAGCTCCGCTTATATGGAGTTACTCGCATTTTGGAACACGGCGTGTAGAGTTAAAGACTTAAACACAATAGGCATAGGCAATAGGCATAGGGAACAGGAAATAACAAGCTGTCCAATCAGAGCTCTGGGATATAATATCGAACTTACGCATCAGAGCTCTGATTGGACGGCTCGTTATTCACTATTGCCTGTGCCTATTGTCTGTGCCTATTGTTTTTAAGTTTTAACTCTGTTACTCGGAGTCGACTTTTGGAAGATACTCTTGAATGTCAACAAGAGGTCGCGTCGCATGCTCCAACATGCTCCAACATGCTCCAACATACACCTAAGATTTGTAGGAGCTATGATAGGAGCATATTGGAGCATGTTGGAACATGAAACACGAACAAACTTATAGATAGAACGACGCTTGTGTTGACTTATGTCATTAAATGGAAAGCATCCAGTATAGACATCTACCTGGATTTCTTCAGATATACAATATATCAATTTCACGCGAGCCAATTGCGCACAAGCGCAATCATAGCGCTAATCATAATGCTAGAAAAAGAAATAAAGAGAAACTTTCTACACAAAAGTCACTGTGATTGGCAGTGGGCAATTGCAATCATGACAAGAAGCTTACCTACTGAAAAAAATCACGACGTTACATGATGAAATCATGTAAATAAAACATGAAAATTACATAACGAATTATTCCAAATCAATACATAATTTTTTATAATGAATTTAAAAATCATGATATTAGAAATAATTTTTATTCATCATGTGCTTTTATAATTGTCAAATTTAAAAAAATTAAATAATAGAAATAGAGAAAAAAAGAACATTATTATCATGTGATTTTTCAAATTACGTAATTTTAAAAAATTACATATTGATTTGGAACAATCCATTACATAATTTGTGTTTTAATTACATGATTTTATCTTGCAACTGTATGATATGATTTTGGCTGTCAAAGTCTCGCTTTGAAGCATGTAATGGACTAATTAAAAGAAAGAATTTTATAAACTGACCAATTAAAAAACGCTTTAAAGTATTTGCAGCATCGCGTTGACCGTTTTACCTTTTATTCAGTAGGGCTGGGTATTATCATAAAACTTTATCCTTAGGATGGAAAGTGAAAAATGAAAATTTTAATCATTGATGGAGAAATTTTTTACTTTTTACTTTTCATCCTAAGAAAAACGTTTCATGATTGATACCCTGGTACGCGATTCCGTTACTGTTTTTGTACGCCTACCGACAGTTGTCGGTATCATTACGCAGCTTTTTCATCATATAAAATATGATGCGCAACGACACCGATAACTGTCGATAGGCGTGTAAAGATAGTTACGGAATCATGCACATTTATTAAATGAATTTGCTCACCTTTGTAATTTTCATTTCATTTCAAGATGTACAATCGACTCCCTATTCTTTTTAGCTTTTTTAACACGATTCATCTTTTCTCTTTTTTTCTCCAACATAAGAGAAAAGGAAGAAAGATGAACCGTGCCACAAGTTTAGCTAAAAAGAACAGGCCTACGGAAGTATGTTCGTGCAATTACGCAAACTGGAAGTGGAATGCGCATGCGTGCGCATATGTATTACATATATATGTATGTGTGATATGTGTGTAGTACTGTGTAAGTGTAGGTGGTGTGTGTGTCGTGTGTGTGTATGTGTGTGTGTGTCGCGTAACTGTGTGTAGTGTATGCATGTACAGATGATACGGGTTTTGCAATTGAACTCGATCCGGAATCGTGTCGTCTTGATCCTCTGATGCCGTTCGGTGAACAATAACATCGACCGCGTGATTTTACTTGACGCTAAACAAAGTAGTGAGATTGATCGAGCATTGACTCGACGCTAAGGAGACGATTCGTGACCAGCTTGCTCGCGCTCTTCCATAGCCAGGGCAGTGCACGATAGTTCCCTGCGGTTGTGAATGCAACTCGGTATTATCCCACGCATATGACGGACATCCGCGATTTTAACATTTTCCTCACTCATCGGCAACAAGAATTGGCCAGATGAAGGTAATCGTACTGATTAAACGCGGAGTAATGTCACCAAAAATATAAAAGTAAAGAAAAAGAGAAAGAGAGAGAGAGGGGATTATATGTTCGTACCGTTCTGTTTGTTGTTTATTGTTGGAACAAGTTCTTCATCTATTTTTTTGTTTAGGCGTGTCGTGAGGGTTTAGTTAGATGAAATTATTAATTCGGAATTTTTACAGTGATATATTTGTTTTTTTGGGGCGTGTTAATGAAACCTATGTTGTGCAGTCTCTTAAAAATGAAGCTTAGGGCTATAGATAATTAAGAATGAAAAATCTTCTGTTATTTTGGGTTTTTACAAAAAATTTTATGTACATATTCATTGTTAATTATTTTCTATGCATATGTAAACATGTCTTTGTGTATATATGTATGTCTATACATGTAATAAAATTATTTTATAGATAATGTTAGATGATGATGCTGCATTGGATTCAATGGATACCGAGGAAGAGATATTTTCTCCTCGCAACCACAGCTTGGACTCGAACGTCAGACGGCCTAAGAGTCTGCGCAAGCTGAGGTCGCATTCCGGTTCTAATTCCCACATAACTAGAAACAATCTAAGTGTACGTCGCAGTACACGTAATAGAATGCAGACTTATGACAATCTTAATACAAGCTGGATTCTGGGTACAATACAATTATATTTAACATATAGAATACTAGCTCGTTATGATGGAAAATAGGTTCTTATATTCACTGCCAGCATTGAAAATTTATAGTATAAGTAGTACACTACAGATTTTCAACACTAACAGTGAATATTAGAATGAACCCTAAGTCGGTATTCATACTTGGATCTTATATTCAAGACTGTTTTAAATATAGTCTTAAGAAATCTTAAGAAGTACGAATTAATCAGAAGACCATATCAGTGTTTTAAGACAAGAGTCGTTAAGAGTCTTGAAATAAGAACCTACTAGGAATACAACCCTTTTTAGTTAACCTTTAACTAATGCTCTATGTATATAATTACATCAATGTTGCATATATTTAGAACTTTAGATAATAAACTAGAAGATATAGTTTGCGTAATTAATATATATTTTAATTATTATAACTTATTTTGATTTATTTTTTTTAATGTTTTTGCATTTTTCAAATGTTTATTAAAATTAACAGGAACGCAAACTTTGAAAGGATATCCTATGTTTCAACAACATCCTTCTTCCTCGGATAAAGAGATGGTAGATGAGGTCCCTGGTAGAAAACGCGATGTTCGAGACCGTATGCCCTTAAAATCTCGCGAAAATCATCCACCTAATAAAACTCCGACAAGACATCTTAGGGATAGAACAGAACATGATCGACAAAATAGTAGGGAACTTCGAACTAGAGTTGATCGTGATCTTAAAGAAAGAACTGAACCGGAAAAGGATAGCGAACAAACAAAACCAGCGAATGAGGAGAAAGACACTAGGTATGTAATTTAATATTGAACGCTTATGTACATACTTAGTGAAATATAATATAATTAACATTAAACTGTTTCCTTAGAACAAGAAAGTCTGATAGTCCGAACAGATTTAGAGAAGGTCCTGTAACCAGATTATGCGGAAATGTAGTTGAGAAAACTGAGAAGCCCAAAGTAGAGCAAGTGGAGGCGGATGATGTTAGCTCACATGAAAGTGAAAAACCAGATAATAATGATAATTCAGAAAACGAAGACGTAAGCAAACTTCTGCATCTCATTTCCCTATCGTCAAATGTTGATCTGTAAATTTATGTATCTTTTATTTACATTTTTTAGGGATTTGAGGATATGTACACGCGCATTAAGAGGACAAGGCGCACGACTCAACGACAACTGCCAAGAGGTAAGCAGAAGATTCAGATTTGCCGGCGCTACAGTACAATACGCGCATATTTTTCTTCCAAAATATAAATGATTTATACATTTATTTATATATACAGTGGTGGATAGTGATCTAAGCGAATCTTCGGATTCTCCTGGGCCTAGGAAATACAGTTTACGTCAAAAAAAGCCTACTGTAGATAGGTTTCAAGCTAATGTAGAGCCAGTTAGGCGTTCTATTAGAGCCCTTAGAAGTGTTCTCAGCAATTCGATGAGAAGAAGGAAGCATAGAAGTAAGAGTACGAGTTCTGCTGATTCCAGTGACTCCGAGCCTCAACGTTATGATAAGAAGAAAGGCAAAAAAGCGAGGTATTATGTCACGCAAAAAACGTTTGTTGTATTAGGTGTTGGAATTAATTCGTAGCGTTTTACAATGAAAGAATGTTATTTATTTCACATGAGCATTAAAAAATACATTAATGAAAGTACTTCCCATCACTTGTAAAACGCTACGAATTAATTCCAACACCTAATACAATGTCTTTATTAATCCTTATTGTGTAAATACCATTTTTTGTAGTACCATTTAATGTAAATGGAGGTCATTAATGTTCGGTGTGTTTTTTTAATAGATTAGTTTAAAAGTAATTTAAAA